ACAGACAGACACACACACACACACAGGTCTGGAGCTCTTGATGTCAAGAACAAGGTAGGAAGCAAAGATGAGTAGGTCTTGACACCAAAAGACTAGGGAAGCTTCAGCTAGAAAATCTGGGGGTTTTACTCGTATCTCTGATGTCTAGGTCCCTAATATTCTATTGAGACATTAATGTGCATCCATTTTGTTACCCCATTGAAGAAGAAAACTACTACAGCCTCAGATGCACATTTGCTCACCATCCCCAACTGTCCCAAGCTGCCTCAAACACAGTAGATATGTCCAGGGTGGAACATTATAAATGTTCAGATGACTAATGGAGAATATCTATTTCAGCAGCAGGAGAGGGACTAGAGACAGACCAGGGTCTGGTACTCCATTACTCAAGCTTTCATACAATTTCCACATGTTTCTCTAGGCTTGAGTACATGCAAGAATCAAAATATTTTTGCAGCAGGGGCTTTTGTTCTTAGTTGTATACACTATGCTACTTTTACTGTTTCCTGGGACCTTTGAAAAAACTTTCCAAGTGCTCAACTCAGAATACATTCACATACAAACAGAACTAAATGGACTCAGTATGTTATAAGAACATGTGGTTATAGCTTGTATCAATGAATATTAAAGAACACATAAATAAGGGAAATAAAGGAATGGTTGTATGGTGAGAGGGTGAGAGTTGGAGTCATATATGCAGCTAAGGAAATATGAGTTTCTGAATAGACAACCACTATTTAAAAGAGAAATCACATGTTGCACCATTATGTATGAGCTCTGTAATTTTTTCACACATTTGAAACCACTATGGAAGCTAAATTGAATTAGAAAGTATAATAAGTAAGTCCCATTTCTATGACCTAGCATGTATTATTGAGTTTCTAGTTTGGAGTCATGAACTCAGGCTCAGAAATGCCAGAGAGTGATCTCTGTATGAGTTCACCATTGCTTAATACAACAACCTTTGACTTATTGTTACAATATCTCTTTCTTCATCTCAGTAGTTAGTTTTGAAATGAGCTACGGGCTGTTAATAATTTCTTTTCGCTGTACTATAAATATTAGATCTCAAGATTAGCTAGAAGCTTTACAGGTGGCTAAAGGTGGAATCCTAACAGCACCTATGAAGAGCTCTTTGCCATGTCAGACTACCTTTGGTTTGAAGGAATAGCTTTCCCTGCAGTAGGATTTGAAAAAGAAATACTTGAAGAAATCGGTGATAAGTTTGTGGTTAGAGATGAAGACACAATCATATTGTCTTACCCCAAATCAGGTAAGGACTGTTAGTGAGAATGATCTTGAACTGTATGATGAAGGTTGGGATTTTGATCCTCATTAATTTAGGGAATGAGTGGAGTGTTCTATAAATCAGATGTTAAAAATACTTTGTGGGTAAGGAGAGCTGTGTGTCAGCATATTTACACTCAGAGAAAGACTTCTAGCCTGCTATGTGTGGTCGAAAATCAGTTAAGACAAGAGAGCAATGTTGCCTTATCCTCTTTTAGGATTAGTTGGGGGTGGGTTGGGAGGGTGTGTGGAGGTAATGGTAGGAGGGGAGGGAATAGGAATTCAGGTTGGTATTTTTTTTAAAAAAAGTCTAATATTTTTTTGAAAAAAGAAAGAAAAAAGAGAGAGCAATGTCAATGGATTCTAAGGCAGACTCTGGCATTGTTGTGTCTCTGAGTGGAAGAATGAGTGAAAGAGGGAGAATGATGAGAATAAACAAAAGAAATAACATCAAGAGGAAAAAGGCATGGATATAAGAGTATGTGGTGGAGAGTAAAATGTTGTGTAGAGAATTACCATGGTTCTTTTTCAGGTTGTAGAAAGAGTCTCAAACTCAAGGAACCAAAAATGACTTTTGGGGAAGGGATATTTGCTGGGTGGAAGAAGCATTGACCATTAGGAAAGTAATAGATTGCCGACAAGGAATGTGAAATAACTTGGAAAATGAAGGACAGTGGGATTCAGGATAAAGATTCAGACAACAGCCCAGGGAAGAAAGGTTGATAACTATCCACTGACAAATGAGCATGCAAACATGGATAGAGTGTGTGTGTTAAATAGAGAAGAGGGTATTTATTTACCTTAAGGACAAGCAGTACTCATAGACACACTGCAGGATGGATGCATCTCAAGGGCATTGTATTAAAAAAAGCTCATCTAGATTTTTTGGAACATATTTTATAACTCTATCCCTGTGAACTATCTGGGATATTCAAATTCACTGCACTAGAATGTAGACTGATGATGGCCCAGGACTGCTGGGAATGTTCAGGAGGCAGGTGAAGGATACTAAGTATAATCTCAGTTTTTCTAAATGAAGCATTGGGGAAGTGCTTGATCAATATACTTTGTGCTAACACCATGTAGACATTGTGAACACAAGTCTGTGTACTTGGAAACAGCTGCACTCTAAACAGTGTGATTATATATTCTACTTGACGCTTTTTAACAAATAATGTTGAAATAACTGACCATCAATTTTTCTTCTTGTTCAGGAACTAACTGGCTGATTGAGATTGTCTGCTTGATTCAGACCAAGGGGACTCCCAAGTGGATTCAATCTGTGCCCATCTGGGAACGCTCACCCTGGGTAGAGACTCAAATAGGATATCAAATGTTAGTCAATCAGGAAGGACCACGCCTCATCAGCTCTCATCTTCCCTTTCATCTTTTCCCTAAGTCTTTCTTCAGTTCCAAGGCCAAGGTCAGCATCCAGTGATTGAGAAATCCTTGATCAAATGCTCATTGAACTTATTCTACCATGACAGGCCCTGGAGTTCTTGTTTAAATGGACTCTGATTTTGTAGGTTGAGGTAGGAAAGCTGGGATTCTCATGCACTAAGTGATATTGATGTGTTCCCTCCTCAGACTAAATCAAAGTACCATGATGTCAATCACCACACAGTGATCCTGGCAGGTATATGACAGAAAGTGGAACAACACATTAGAGCATCAAGGAACTACATAAACAGGTCAAATAGAGTTAAAATTCTAGTGTAGAGTAGATATTACTGTTTTGCTGTCACCAAATAATTAATTAGCTAATCTTGATTCTATAAATACCCCATGCACAGTGGGTCAATCACCCAACACAGACTACATCATAGGTGAAACATCATGAACAGGTACCAATGTTTTATACCTGTAGATGGTTCAACAGTTATGGCTCATCTGTATTCACTGTGTCCTGCTGGGTCTATCTCTCCATTGAGATCAGTAACCATGTACCTGATAGAGGAACTACAGAAAGTATGAGAAATATTCATAGCTTCTTGTTAGAAAGAACATTTACTGGAAGTCCCTTCACCACATAACTTAATATTGTTTAATGCTTAAACGGCAAAGACACTCTTAGAAGAACTATCTCTTTAAAAACATCACAATTGAGTTATGACCATTCAAAAATGTGTGTTTATGTCTTATTTGAATTTGGCAAACTCTTGACTGGAGAAATTGAGGCATAAAGAGATAAATTCTAGAATAATGTCACAAAGGCATTGGTTTAAACTATAAGTATCCTTTTATTAAATTTATTTACTTTTAATTTATTTCTTTTATTTTTGAGATTACACAATTTAATTATATATAACACTCCCCCATCCCCTTCCTCCACACTCATTTATATAGCCCTCCTTTTTCAGATTTATGGTCTCTTTTTCATTGATTGTTATTATATATGTATATTTATACATATCTACATATTTATAAATACTTAAGTACAATCAGCTCTGTCTGTACAGTGTTCCTTGTCTGTATGTTTTCTGGGATGAGCATTCAGCATTATGTGACCAATAGTTATGCTTTTCCCAAAGGAAATCGTTTTCTGCTCTCTTCATTTCTTACTTTCCTGTAGGTCTTGTTTCACCATTGTGTAATGGCACATTGGCTTTAAGCTCTGCACCATGATTGTTTCGAGGGTTATATTGGGTAGTTATTGTTACAAAATCCAAAAGTTTGTCATATCGCATTTTGATTAAGCACAGTACTCAATAT